TAATCGCCAATGCATTAGGGTTTATATTTCTTAATTTTTGTTTAGTGATTAGCGTCCATACCCTTTTAAATGACAATTTATGGGGTTTATACAAAAGTATGAGATTAAGGTGAGAAAATGAAAAAGATTATCATAAGGAAGGGGTTAATCGGCAATGGATTGGGGTTTATATTTTCTTAATTTTTGTTTAGTGATTACCGTCCATAGCATTTTAAATGGGGTTTATATTTTGATAGCATTTTGACATAAGAAAGGGGTTAATCGCCAATGTATTAGGGTTTATATTTTCTTAATTTTTGTTTAGTGATTAGCGTCCATAACTTTTTAAATGACAATGTATTAGTCACTTTCCTAACCTACCTCCTAATACCGTACGTAGTAATCCTAACTGATAAAAAAACGGAATGGAACATATGAATACAAAAACGGAATGGAATGGATGATCTAGTTATAATGGAACAGAACTAGGTAAACTGTTTGAAGATTATCATAAGAAGGGGGTTAATCGTTAATGGATTGGGGTTTATATTTTCTTAATTTTTGTTTAGTGATTAGCGTCCATAGCATTTTTAAATAGGGTTTATATTTCCATAGCATTTTAACATAAGAAAGGGGTTAATCTGCAATGTACTAGTGTTTAGATTTTCTTAATTGTTGTTAGTTATTTTCTTAATTGTCTTTTAAATGACAATTTATGGGGTTTATATAAAGTAAATGGGCACTAAAAGAAAGATATTAATGTGAGAAAAAGAAAAAGATTAACCTAATTCCTAATCCACCTACTAATATTGTATGTCGTAAGCCTACTTAATAGAATAACGGAATGGAACATATGAATATAAAAACGGAATGGAAGGGATGACCTATGTAGAATGGAACAGAAATAGTTACCAATCCCCTTTCGATTTGACATGAAATGGTAATTATTCAATTGTACTATTCCACTTCAGATAGTATCAATTGCTTGTATGTTCTGCTTGGATCTGTTTCCATTTAAATTGTTGACCGTTAAGTTATCCCCTTCAACAATGATATTGTAAAGGGAGTTTGTAATAAGAATAAATCTAACGTGGCTTTTTTCTCCTTAAAATGTGTATAGTTCCTGATAAATATTAGCCATACTTCCCTTTTGACAACGTCATCTTATTATCTCTCCTTCACCTTCTACTTGTACGATGGAGGGTTGAAACCGGATAATTGTGAGCTTAATTGTTACTTTCTTTATTATGTCAAAATCAATGTCATACACTTAATTTCCTCTCCAATCTTAGCTATTTCACAAATTAGAAATAGTTGTAACTAGTTGTAACTTTAGAAATAGTTGTAACTAGTTGTAATCTTAGAATTTTTAATGTCAGGGATTGATTGGAAATAGTTGTAACTTTACATTTCTCTGTAAAATTAAAACTATAGCTTTTTTGGTTGTTGATGTAAACTATTTTAATTGAAATTTTTTAGCTATAGATTTGAAAAGATTTATTGCTTTTTACAACAAAAAATAAACAAAAAAATCTGTAACTTTTGAAAGATATTTACAAAGCATGATTGGAAAAAAAATTAGTTTTGAAAACCGGATCGGACTGGCCGTTGAACCAGTTCGACCGTGAATCGTTGAAGAAGTCGAGTCTGATTCGGTTTAAAACTCAGATTTGAGAGAACCGACAATAAAAACTGATAAACCGGTAAAACTGGTGATACAGGTAAACTTTAAATCCCAATTCTAAAATTTCACATATAATTAATATATTTTCAATTGTTGTTAAAATTTAATATTTCATAATGAATGTTTGACTATTACTATTTAATTGATTTTCTATTTAATTATATTTTCTTAAGAAAGAATCTAAACACATATATTTTTGACTTCTATATATTATTCTTATTTTGACATATTCATATGAGACTTTAGTTGTAAAAATAAATAAATGCGATAATCTGAACAATCAATCATTTTTTTTTTTATCAATTTCAAAATTTACATAGTATTTATTTGTTTACCATATATATAGTTAAATTTATGATTCTTTTTTTAGTTAATAAAAGAAAAAATAGAATATAGTATATTTAGAATTACTATATAAGTCTATATAATGTAAATATTTGACTATATATATTTATTTATTTGAAATTGAAAACTTGATTTGACCAGTTGAATCTGTTTAACCGGTCTACTTTTCAAAATATTATGTTTTGAAAATAACTAGATTTTGACATGCGCTTTTAAAGCGTGGATATTTTTCATTTTAGTAAAATTTTATTAACTCTATAAATTTTATTAAAAACAAAGAATTTAAAAACTGTTTAATTAGTATTTCAAAAAATAGTTTTATTATAATGTTTGATTTTTAAGTAGTGTGTTTATATTTGATTCAGATATATGGTTGAAGCGATAGATCTAGACACTTGCGTATAATCCAATTTTAATATAATGAAATTCTTTTTTTTTTGTTTAACTAAAAGTTCGATACAATCCAGTAAAAGTTAAAAAAAATTGCGATTTGATATTGGTTGATCCACTTAAAACTCAAAAAATCTAATATTACTTTTGAAGTTTTTATTAAATATCTCTTGTTTTTAATATTATATAACATTGATTTTTTTAATTCCTTAGAATTTGATGAAATTTGTATTATGCCATTTGAAGAAAACGAAACAATGATAATAGAAAAAGACAAAAAAAAAATTTGATATGAAACTCTTAGTTTCTTTTTGTTTTTAATAACCTATTCTATGTTTATATTTTTATTTATTTTAGATCTAAAATTTAATTTTATGATAAATTTTAAATTATTTTTGAACACTCAAAATTTCCATATTAATATTATGTAGAAAATTACATAGTAAATAATATTTTTTTAAACTTCATGTATATATCTACATTTGATTTTTAAAAAATTATTATTTACAAAAAATTATATTCAAATTAAATGGTAAGTATAATTAGCATAAAAATCAGAACAATTACCTTTGACAAAAATATGAAAAATATTAGTTTCCATAAATATAAGAAATATTTTTTTCTTTAATTTAAATAAATAGAAGTTAATGGTATGATTTTATAATTTTCTCAAAAATCAAAGGCATAATCCAAAGAAAAAAAGGCATAATCCAAAGAAAGATTCTACTTTAATAGTATAGATTTGAGATATAAAAAGACTTTATAGCATTTTTAAAACATTTGCCAATCAGTCCCTTGGTCTTTAACTCAACCTGTGTGATAACAATTAACTAGAGTTAATACTTCATGTGACAGCTAATATCTATATATATATATTTGATGGTGGTATGGGTCTCTCTCATTTCCAATACGTTTCATATATAAAACCGTCGGGGTTCCTTTAATAAAGTAAAAACATTTCTTCTTAATACCAGCAAAAATTGAGGAGATAAAATTAAGAGAGAAAAGGTTAGTGATTTCGCAGAAATTATAATAATAAATCTGATCTCTTCAGTTTTTCTTTTCTTTGTTGGTGATTTTGATTTTCGTTTTGTTTACAATTAACCCGAATTTCGTGAGAAAAAAAATAGTATTTGATTTTGAGGAATAAGGGTCTGTATCTATCAAAGAATTGATTTGTGACCCCAAATTTCCTCTTCCGTCACCATCATCAAAATCAAAACCTTACAAAAAAAAATAGAACGTAATGGCGGGTCAATGGAAATGGAAACGCCAAAAACGCCCTAGTTTTTTCGATTTCTTGTGTTTCCCGCTAAAATAAAACCCTAATTTCCGCCATGGATCTTAATCGTAAGCTTACCGGATTTTTAAGCTTCCTAGGGTTTGTTTTTTCAGGTCTCGCTCAATGGCTGGATGGTCGATGGTAGCAGACGAAGACGATGCCGTCGATTTCTGCAAAACATCGAAGAATCTCGAATCTAATAACTCTCCTGAAGCCGTCAATATCAACGATCTCGTCTCCTTGTTCCAACGCTTACTCGAATCTTTCCTCGTCGTGTTTTGTCCCGCGGATGGTTTCCGACCTCTTCCTCCGATGACCGGGGACGGGAGAGTCGTAGATTTGTTCAGCCTTTTCCTCAATGTTAGTCACAGAGGCGGGTTTAATGCCGTCGTTTCGTGGGAGGAAGTAGCTCAGGAGTGTGGATTAGGGTTTAATAACTCTGCTACTGTGAAATTGATCTATGTTAAGTATCTTGATGCGTTTGCTCGTTGGTTGAACAGAGTTGGTAATGATGATGATGTTGATACTAGCAGCGTTGAGTTGTGTGGAGTCTCGGATGATTTGATGAGTAGGCTTAAAGATTTTCTTTGTGAGGTTAAGAGGAAGTATGGGGTGAGGAATGGTACTGCTTTGAGGGAGTTAGGAGCAGAACTTAAGTGGTTTGTATCTAAAACGAAGAGAAGTTATGATGATAAGAAGCTTATGAGCCTTGGCTCTTTTTCGCCTGGGAAGAGAAAACGGGAGTGTCCTTTGGAGACGTTGAGATGGTTAAGCGACGCTGCTAAGGATCCATCTGGTATATCTATTGGTCGTGTGCCTGATAGATCAAAGTGGGATTCTTATGGAAGTGAAGAGCCGTGGAAACAGCTTCTTCTGTTTAGGGCATCGAGAACAAACTCTGATCCGGCTTGTCAAAAGATTTGGCAGGTGGGTTTAGTTATTTAACAAGTTTACATTTGCATTTAGTGAAAAAACGCCATGGGATTTAAATGCACCAACTTTCCTGCTTTAGTTATTATTCTATTCATTGTTGAGTTTAACCGTCAAGATGTGATTTTTTGCCTGTAGAGTGAGTCTTAATTAGCATGTCTTAAAGCATTTCAAGGAATTGATAGTAGCAACTTAGGAAATGTTGGATCAGCTTTATCATAATAAATTTGATTCTCAATAATGTCGGCTTCCCTAATGAGAATGCTTATCCCATTTAAGTCTTGATCATTTGCTCGTATGTTTCAGAAAATCCAGAAGATGCATCCATCTCTGTATGAGGATAGTGCTGGACCTAGTTACAATCTCAGAGAGAGACTCAGATTTGATGGGAGTGAGTGTGGCTCGGCTTCAGATGAGGAGGATACACCATGTGCTCGAGTTGGCTCAAAGTTTCAGGCTGAAGTACCTGAGTGGATCGGCGTCAACAGTGAAAGCGATTCAAAGTGGTTGGGCACTCGGGTCTGGCCACTGAGCAAAGAACAAAGCAACAGTAATCTTCTCATCGAAAGAGATCCTATTGGGAAAGGAAGACAAGATCCTTGCGGCTGCCAAAACCCTGGTTCTGTTGAATGTGTCAGATTCCATATAAACACAAAACGGGAGAAACTAAAACTTGAACTTGGTTCAGCATTCTACATGTGGTGTTTCGATAGTATGGGTGAAGGTACTCTGCAGTATTGGACAGACTTAGAACTGAAGAAAGTAAAGCTTTTGGCTTTTCCACCTACACTTAGCCCATCTTTCTTCAATGACCTCAAGAAGATTCTTTCTTCAAAGAGCAGAGAAGAGATTGTGGGCTACTATTACAACGTGGCGCTTTTGCAGTATAGAGCAAATCAGAATAGAAGGGCTCCTGATGAGGTAGACAGTGATACTGATCAATACTACAACCTTGCACCAGGGAATGGAGATCCAACCATGGAAGCCAACACCTCTGAGAAACCTGTCCTGCTTACCCCTAAGAAAAAACGGCGTCGATAACGAGGAGATGTAGTAGCTAGCCTTTATGAATCACCCCTTTGGAGATTTAAGTTGGAGCAGCCCCTTTTCTTTTGTTCTTTCCATCTATTTTTTGGAGGCATCTATGGCCATTGAAACTGCTTAAAAACTCTTTAGGGGAAGGGTTCATCAGTCAGCAGCCCCTTTTCTTTTGTTCTTTCCATCTATTTTTTGGAGGCATCTATGGCCATTGAAACTGCTTAAAAACTCTTTAGGGGAAGGGTTCATCAGTCAGTAACATCGTCTCAGCAAATTCTGGTTTTGTTTTTTTGAGGTACATACTGCCATCTCTCCATTGTTTTGAAGATGCTACAAGAGTATTCCTTTTGTGGTTGGCAAAGGCTTTGTCAAAACTTGTTGACTACAGTGAAATTTCGGATTAGTTTGGTGAATACAACAGAGACAAAGTGTAATTGCTATTTGTTTGTTTCAAATGGATAAACTATGAACTCAGTTCCTCAGTTTCATGATTTCGTATACATCATATTATTTGAAAACTCTCTATTAGCCCACTTTTTTTGAAAAAAGAACTCACACAAACTAAGTTATACTCATGGGTTACTTATTTGGTAAATTATTATAGTTTATATGGTTTTTTGTGCTATACTTATTTCTTAGAAGCTTAAATCAGTTTATATATTAACTACTAGGGTCGGTCCGTCCTACAGGCGGAATATATTTTATTTGTGATCTATGTTACTGTTTTGTATAGTTTGTGTTTTAGGTTTGTATTTGCAAGAGATGTATATGATAATGATTGTTGTTTATTAAAAAAATTTAAGTGAGAAATTATACAGTTGTTTCTATACTAAAGAGTTATGGTATTGATTTGTTATGAAAGATTCAAAAAATATTTAACATTTTAATAAGAGAGAATTAGGCAAATGCCCAAAATCCAAGCCTATATTAGGCGATTACCCATGATGGGACATAAGAGTAAAGTTTTTTACAATTTAGACTTGTTCAGACAATATTGTCCTTCTCACTTTCTCTTTCCCATGTGAAATATCTGACTTCTCTCTCTTCCTCCAACGATTCTTCATTTATTTCTTACATTCATTTTATTTAAACCACACATATTTTTTACATAACTCTTTTTTACATTCATTTCTTTCTTTTTTTTTTTATTTTTGTTTCTCATCTACAATTTTATTTGTAGATAATTTTTAAATTTACTCATTTTGATAGAGAAATGAAACTTCAACAAAATTTATTTGTTAACATATAATACATAACGCAAGTATTGACATCTACAAGATTTATTAACAACTAACATCTCTGTTAACACTTGTAATACATGTCTTTGTTAACAGCTAACACATCTGTTAACATTTACAAAATTTGTTAACTGTTAATGTCTCTGTTAATACATCCGGTACTATATTTGTTAACAGTTAACACTTTTGTTAACATCTACATTATTTGTTAACAGCTAACATAAGTGTTAACATCTCGGCGAATTTTAAAAAAACTTCAATGCTGATTTTTTCAGAATGTGGTGAAATTAGATTCAAAAGAATAGTAGTAAAATTGTAATAAATTTTTTCGCAACAATAAATTTTTACACAAAAAAAAAGAAGAAATTAAAATGATAAAGAGAGTTTGAGAATGAGAAAAAAGAGGAATTAAAGGAAAGAGAGTGTGAGAGAGTGTGTCAGGAGAGGAGAGAGGGAGTGTCAGGAGAGAGAGTGTGTCAGGAGAGAGAGAGAGTCACATGTAAAAGGAAGGGCAACTTGGTCTTAAAATTTATTAATGTCAAATCGTGGGCATTTCACTAATATGGGAGGCTGATAGAGTGTTTCAGCCAATATTCTCTTTTAATAATGTATAGATTTAGAATATGAGATTATTTGTAATTTAACTAAATTGAAATTTGTATATGCTTTTTAGTGGTTAGTACTCCTAACTATTAAATCATTTCTGGAAATTTTCATTTACTTCGAATAGGTTTTTGAAAAGTAGTAAAATACATACATGCAATGCAATGAGTAATAAGCTGAATCTTAAATCTGTAGTCTTTTTCCTTTTTATTTGCACAATCCTTCATCTTCAATGGGTGTTTATTTAGTTTGTAAAACTTAATTTTTTCAAACGTTATATGTAAATTTTCATAATACTAACCAAGGCACATGCTTGTGAAGGAGGCTACCTGAACCCCACAATTTATTATTCATTAGAAAGGAAAATATGCATAAACAGATAGTTTAAAATATTGAATAAGTCTTTGAGAAAATTAAAAATGGAATAAATTGTGTTTTTTTCTGTTGGGATGTAGACAACAACAAATGTAGGGCAATAGACACCGTCACACCAAAAGCGATTGATGATGGTAAACCCATTGCTTCATCGATTGCGGAGACAATTTCTTGAGGTTATCCTTGTGTCATTGTTGTTGCTGCTGGAGCTCCTCCCTCATGGTTGGGCTGTAATATCTTTCAACTTCTGATAACCAAGATTAAATCTGAAACTTTTTAGATCAAACCAAGCAAATAAGGTGATAACTGATTGAGAACAACTATGTGCTTGTAGTTTATGTTTTAAGGTGATCTCACACTGGCTCAAACACTTGATCTTCTTTATTCTAAGAACTAGTTAATGGTCTATATTATATTAGAGAAAGAAACGGAAAAGCTAATAATATTAATACATCGTATTTTTAGAGAAAAACTTAATTACTAAACTATATTTAATGTAGTCATTTCTTTTTATTTTTAATTTCTGAGCAAGATTTACGTTACTTGACAAAAACAAAACTACATTAGGAAAAGATTGATATCTTCTATCAAATTTAGAATATTGTAATCGTAACAAAAATGAATATTTATTTCATATTATAGAAATCATATATTTAAGGAATATTAATTTTAAAAAAAATTTAAATAAAAATGAAGAAGAATGCAAAAGAGATAATAATGGAAGGTCTTACATAATACGTAAACTATGTTCCTCTCTCTCATCTCCATTAATACTCTTCTCTATTTACCATCATAAATGACTTTTCTAGTCTCCTTCACCGCTTTCAGCATCCTCCTCTTCTCCCTTGCTGCCGCTCTCCTCCTCCTACCCTGATGTAATCGTTTCTGGCGGTTGGGTCTCTCTCTCATAGGCGAGACTCTGCAGCTGATCAGAGCTTACAGGGCAAAAAATCCTGAGCCTTTCATCGATGAGATTGTTTCCTAGTATGGATTAGTTTTCATGATGCATTTATTTGGTGAATTGACGTTATTCTCAGCTGACCCCGAAACGAACCGGTTTGTTGTTCAACAAAGGAAATCTTATCGAGTGTTCTTATCTTGTATCCCTTCAAATTCTAAGAATCGAGTCATTTTATATTCCATTTTTGGTGATTGTCTTTTTGATGATTATAATGATGGAGAGGGATAAAATGATGAATTTCACGAAGCTTACTTCCTTATTTATAGGTACAGACGCACAACCATAGAAGGTGGGGTGTATTGAATGCATCGTAGTCGAAGACGATCATGCAATGGTGTTAATGAAAATGTTTCTTAGGTTGATTGAATGAAAAAGTAAACCGATACGCCTCTGAACAGTGGTTGAATATCAATCGATACGACAAAGAGGATGGCTTTGCAGAGCGAGCAGAAGATTAATTTTTGGCCCAATGAAACCAGACAGCCCAATGTGTCGGAGGCTAATGTTACCAAACTTGTCGAAGATACATTCTTAAGAGAATGAACTGTAATGTTTTTAGGAAGTGATTTAGTGAAATAGTATTTTTAGAGTGAGGAAATTCTCTCTCTATAAATATATATGTATTAGTTTATAAATATAATGTAGTTAAATTTGTTTAAAATATTATTATGCTATACATCTAGGTTGAATTTAAAATTTGATATAGTTATAGTAGTATAACTACATTTATCAGTTAGGTTATTCTTAACAAATTATGATGCATTCTAGGTTTATGGTTTGAAAATAATAAGTCACTTGATGTTTTTTTTTTAAACTGTTGACATGTTTTTTAGGCGTCTAGTAAGATTTTTTTTCTCAGTTTGATTTGTATGTGAATGCATTATTGAGCTTTTTTGGATCCAATATCTATATTTTTATATTAATTAACTTTAGTTGAGTTATTAATGGACTTGAATTGTTGACAAATAAAAAAGACTTCAATTTTATTTGGTGCATAAAACGAATGGATAAGTAAACTAAAAAGAAAAAGAAAAATATATATCTTTACAGTTTTATTCTCAGCCTACTATAAGCTTCTTCTTCCTTTCACCACCTCACCGCGTCTTTTTCTTCATCATCTCACCACATCTTTTTCTTCACCACCTCACCGCGTCTTTTTCTTCATCATCTCACCACATCTTTTTCTTCATCACCTAGTCTATGTCTCCATCTAATTCTGCTTCGTCTTGCTCTCCTACTATTTCTCCTTCCCTCGATTCATATTATTTACTGTTTCAGTTAACATATGTAATTTGTTTCTTTCACTTTGCTCTTCTCTTTTTTTAACTTGATAAACTGGGATGATTCACACTTCATTGACATAAAGTGATAGTCTTTTTTTTGGGTTCAATTCTATACCTTTTTCTCAATTTAAAAAAAATACAGAACAACAATAACTTAACCGATTTTCTTGAGTGGACGAATCGTAGGATGACGTGTAATCATTTGGAGTTTTTGACAGAAAAAAAGTGTCTAGAATTTAATCAAGTTATAGGGTCTATTCTTGCTCTTCTCAATTTAGTTGGGAGGAGAAAAAGCAGGATGATGATATTTGTTGGGCTCACATAATAACTATGAATAACTCATTTAACAAACAGCAGAAGCCCATACGTGAAACCCCAAAAAAAAAACAAATGAAAAGAAAATAACAGGGTTGGATACGTGTGAAGATTCTTGTTATTAGTAAATCATACATATATCCATTTATTATTGTTTTGTTTTGATCGTAATGGTTGTTTGATATATGAACGTTATAAAACATATGAGAGAATATTTTTATGAGTAAATTATAGAATCATATGATATAACAAAAAAAAATATTTTACTATTATTTGATTATAGAGACAAGTGTCATTAAATAGTTTAATTAATTGGTGAGAATTATTGGAATTGTTTGATAATTACACAAATATGATTAATAGCTGTGAGAAATCATTAGCTTAAATGATAGTTATTCAAAATTCATTTACGTGAATACACTATGTTGCAATCTATTTATCGGTTATTCATTAATCTCATAATGTCAAGATCTCATAATGTCAAGATCAAGTAAATTTAATTAGGGCATTATATATTTGATGTTAACTAACACATCAGCCATATTTTGTGAGCAAATTTTAATTATTTCAGGATTTATTATTCTCTCTAAAGAGAAGAGATCAAGTGAAATTGTAACCAACCGAAAATCATGAGCAGTTGGAATTTGCATCTCCGTTGCACTTCTTGTTAAAAACCTTTTCAAATAGCATTAAAATAAGA